CCCCCCCCCCCCCCCCCCCCCCTCCATGCACTCATCCATCCATAGACATGGGTCTGTAACCACGGGGCCGTTTCATTTTGTGAGTTTTTTTAGAGAGGCAGCAATGCCAAAGCAGCATCACGGAAGAGGAAGCCGTATCACGCCAGCAATTAGTTCGTCAGTTTGTGATGCCTGGACCCTCCGCCGGTCTTGCTCCCAGGGCTACCGCGCGTTCACACGCACGCGCATCCGCACAATTTTCGTTGGCATGTTGCTGGTAAATCGGTTGGGCAGCGACCATGGTAAATCCGCCCCAACCTTCCTCCTTCTTTCGCTCTCTCTTCAACCTATTCCTTATGTGCCTCCCCCCAGTCCAGTGCGTAAGCACGTGTCGTATAAGAAAACTGCGTCAGATACGAGGTGCAACCGCTCCGGCTCCGGGCGCGTTCTCTCTGTCCCTTTCTTGTCATGCCTTTGTTTTCCTTTTTGGCTAACACACTGCCATTCAAAACATGGCGAGTGCGACTAGATCTTGTCGTCTTGCCGTCTGTGCATGCTTCCACGGGACAACCAATACCGTCTTCCCACGACAAACGAAAACAAACCGCCAGCGAGTTGCGACGCTGCGGCCGCTGCTGCTCCGGACGCTCCACCTGTCGGGGTCGGCGGAGGTGGACGAGGAAGCGCTCAGGAGGTTCGACGCCTACGTGAACGACAGAGCCGGGAGCGCTCCGCCGGCTGACCTCCGGTAAAATGGCCTACGCTGTAGTAGTTATAGAAGTTGTGGTATTTAGCAGTAGCAGTAGCAGCAGCAGCAGCAGGTAGTATTATAGCAGTGCCTGAACGCGCTTGGCCGGGCAGTTGTCATGGCCGCCCTCTTGCTGACTCACGGTGGAAACAGATCTCTTTACTTGACGTTTTTTCGTGTTGGACCAGCAGAGGTGGCGGTTTTCGATCCTTGCGTATGTAAGCTTTGAGCTCGCAGATGACATATATTTAGCCTTTGCGTGTTATCTGTCGCCGTAGAGCCAGTGATCACTCGATTTTGCTTGCCACGAATTATCTCTTCACTTTGTTGACACAGGTACGTGATCCTGGCGACCGCGGTGGGTGTAAGGGGAGACTCGGCATTCCGGCAGGTGCGGCGACGTCGTCGTTGTTGTTGTTGTTGTTGTTGTTGTTGTGGAAAGGTTTCCACAGCATGCAGAGCGTCTCTGCGTCCCGTAGACTGATGTTCCAAACGGTCGGAGCCGAGTTCCCCTAAAGGTTTCAGGCGTACCAATCATCGAGCCATCATTCTCTACCTAAGCATCAAGCCTCCGTGATCTTGAGGTATCCTCGAAAGCTTTGAACGGTCAAGGTCGTGGGTCCTCAAAGCTGCCGACAAAGCACTACTCGGTAGGTGTTCGAAGTTCGACGTTGTTGTTAGTTTTCAGAGTGAGATTTTTTTTTTCTGACAATGACAACGCTGTGGGAAGCACTTCAGACGAGTGTATTCTGCGTTTCCCACCGGAACCAGCGGTAGCTCGAAAGTATCTCGACAATTCAATGCTTTAAGACTTTATTCTGTCGAAGGAAAGACGGAACGGGTGAAAAGGGGCTTGCGGCCGACGCTATCGTACTAGTTCATAAACTGACTGAACATATGTGAGACATGTGGCTGCTACGCACGACGCAATGGAAGGTGGTCGAGATCTATAGGACGAGTGACTCGGGAGAGGAGAAGCGCCAGTGCCTCAGCGCCATCGGGAAGGCCAGGGATCCCGCCCTGCTGTCCGAAGCCATGGACTTTATCCTCGACTCGGGAGAGGTACGTTGATGGATTAGTGGTCGTGGTTGAGCCATAGTCTAGTGATATGCGCGAGGTAGGGGTGGGGGCTTGGCTCCTGTTCAGACGGACAAGCGTTGCCCCATCGTACACTCGTCCCTTTCAACTGTCGTCGGAGTGCATACCTTCGGCCTTTGGTCTGTGGAGTTGGCTTGAAACCGTCAAATTAGCATTGCAACGTATATCTTCCCAACATAATACGCGTGCGTGTGTGTCTCGGGTGGCGAACTTTGGTCCGTGTGCGAATACGGGCACCTTGTTCCATGTCATTTTCAATAGTGCGTGACTACCATTATTAGTGCGAAATCCATCTGCGAATGGCACCTCTTGTCCTCAAGGTTGCTTTCAAAACCGGGTCTGCTTAACCTGCTCCCGGCTCGAGCCGTGCCCGGCTCGTCGTGGGGATTTCCGCGATGTCCATCCTGAGGATTGCGGTGTCGTGATGGCTGTAGTGCGCGCGTACCATGTCCTAAACGTTTACCAGAGAGTGTATTTGAAGGCGGCTCTTGAGAGGGAGACACCGACAGAGCGGCTAGCACAAGCATGATCGTGATATAGGTCGACGTGGATACGTCCGCGCTGCCACGAAGCGTGGGGGACACCTCTTTACCATTGGCTTGTAGGTCTCGTGTGTGTGTGTTGGACCTCCTTGGCGGACCCTGATGAGCGAGGTGGGCGAACCGAGTCTCAGAAGCAGAAAATGATCGAAGAGCGCCTATTATTTGCCTCTCTGGTGTCGTCCTGCTCACACTTTCGGCTTATGTCGCCTGTCCTTCCCTGTGGACTTTTATTGTGTTGTGGTCGCTCCATCAGGTACGCCTGCAGGACGCCGGACTGTCCCTGGCGTCTTTGGCGACCTCCGCGCTTGGCTCCAAGCTGGTGTGGACGGCCTTCCGTGAGCGCTACGTCGAGCTACACGATCGTTTCTCGGACACAGGTAGATGTCGTTGCCCGCCTTGGGGCCTCTTTGGTTGGTTGCTGGAACATGTGTAGCAAACGTGCGCTTGGACGCACGAGAGATGTGGGGAGAGAGACAGAGAGAGAGTGCAGGGGGGATAGACAGACAGAGAATGATACAGGGATGCAGTGGAGTGCTCTCATGAATGCTGCACTGGTGTGATTTTATGTCTATGGTCTGACAATGAGTTTATCCCGTCCTCCAATCCCACCATCCTCCCTTCCCACTTCCCTTCGTGGTTCCCGATTGGTCGCCTATTGTTTTCTTCCTTTTCGTACCTCCGCCCTGGCCCTTCTTTTGCCTAGAAGTACCTCTACAGCTTGGTGATTCTTGTTCCAGTTATTCCGCTCTCCCGTCCGTCAGACACTCTTGCCTCGTTGGTGTGTGGGTAATCCTCACCCTCTTCTCTTGAATGTTGAAACACGGGGTCAGGTTTCATCTGGCCCATGCTTGTCGGCAGTGCCGTTATGGGACCCCGGACCCCGGAACACCTCACGGAGCTCGAGGCGTTCTTCAATGACGCGCCAAAGCCCGTTGGTGCCGGCGAGAGGTGCGAGGTTTTTCGAGCTCACCTTTTGGTCTTGGTTGTCGCTCAATCCATGGTATCTGCGACTTGCGAACCCGTTCGGTGAATGGACGCTGTTGTTGTTGTTGCTGTGACGCTACATTGTTCACCGTTGTTTGTTGAGGACCCACGTACATGTGCCTTCCGCCACGCTTCGCCTACCCTCCTCTGCAGGAAGTGGCTCCAGAACTTCGAGAAGCTGCGCGTGCAGGTGGCCCAGCTGGCGAGGGACCGCAACACCGTCCCCAAGGCTCTGAGCTGATTTGTATCAATGCTACGATTGGGGTGTTCACGGCCACCCTGGTACCTTGGATCTACTGCTGGTACAACTGGCGGATTCTGTACTTCTGGGTAACAGTGGTACTCGTGCCCGGTGTGTTGGTTCGGGGCTGTTGTGGCTTGTTATTCTGTCGCTTTGGTTTACTCTCCGGCTGATAGTTCTGATAGTTATGGTGGAGGTTTGGCAGTGGCGATACGACGGCGGGTTGTCGGGATGAACGCCGGAACAGAATGAGCGTCTTGCACGGTGGTGACAGTTTTAACGCCGCACCCAAAGCTCCCATGAAAAGACCTTGCTCGTTCTCGTCGTGGGTTCGAGCGGATTTGTGACCGAGCGAAGCGAGGGTTCTGTCCCCTCTCCCCTTTTGGTACATTCTTCAAATCATGCTAGATGACATGTTTTGATCTTCGATGCTCGGACTGGAACAAGTTAGGTTGGAGCCAACTGGATTGTCGGTCAGAGCGTGATTTCTGCTGTGCAATGTGAAAGTGCAGCTTAGGTATACGCGGTGTTCCGCGGGGGATTCGGGCGCTGTCTATCCTCACCAATCTCCGGCCATTGTCAAGGAGGTGTGGACAACTTACCTCGGTATCTGCGGTCGTGCAAGCGCGGTAGTCTACCAGCAGCAACGCGTCGCGTCGTGGTCGATGTGCTTGTGCCCGTCAGGGCTGCAAGCAGCGCTGGCCGCGCCCCCTCCTGGAGTTTAGAGAATCGGCAACCTGCATGTGGTTGGACGTAGCATAGCACTCAACAGGTTTGACATGCGGTACCCCCGTGGGGATGGGTCAACCCAGGGTTTCGAATTGCTGCAGGTACTGTTTTGAGCCCCGTTTTTGGAAAGTTTACGACGTGATTCACGCATTCCAGGCCCCGCGAACGCTTGGACTTCCGTCGTGGGTTGTAGTGTATCAGAAGACAAGTTGTTGCCTGCATAAGTCCAATGTTCGGGTCGAAACGATGCTCCGCATTGGTGCGAGTTTGTTCCTTGGTGGATAACCCCGCTCCTCTCTGCCAAACTGGTTAAGTGCAACAATCCAAGTTCGCAAGCCGTAAATCTCGTGAAGCCTTGGCACATTAGTTCCGAGAAACTCCTCTGGAACCAACGCACGCCCGATCAGAAGGCGACACAGCGTTTGGGGATGGACATCCGCGGGTTGCAGTTTGTCTTCAGGGTCTGCCCAGCTGGGTATGGTCGTGTCGAGACCCTGTCTTACGGTGTCCGACGCGTGTTGAAATACATCAGTGTCACAGGGCACATGTTGGGAAATGGGTGCTAACCGTTCAGGGACGAAGCGGAAAGGTCAGAATCAGTCTCCCTCCCTCGACATCTGCCGGGAAACCAGCCTGGATCTATCTCTCGACGAAACACCGTACTCTCTGTCTGGTCTACTACAAGTACATGTATTGTAGAACCTGGACCCCCCCCCGCAGCTCTCGCCTTTTGGTGGTGGTGCCTTGTCGTCCTCTTCTCGGAACGGAAGGTCGGGTCGTCGGGGTGGGGGGCGGGCGGTGGAAGGTCGTGACTCGCTTGGTCTTGCCCACGAGCGACGGCAGGTACAAGGACGGCTCGACCTGCTGAAACAAGCAAACAAACACACCAGCGAGGGGGGTCAGCCGCTGCGTCGATCGTCTCGCCGATAAGGCGAGAGCGAGCCACAACGACCGGCGAGAGCTGCTGCTGCCGTACGTCTCTGCGTCTGCTTCGCTCTAGAATAAACACACGTTAAAACGACGCGCCCGCCTCGGTACTCGCAAACGAGCCGGCTTCCCTCCCTGACCTCAAGACTAAAGTAGCGAGCCACGCACGTGCAAGTGCTACCGGAGTCGGAAATATAGAACGACACAACGAGTGATAGGACTTTCACCGCAAGCCAAGGCTTCGGGCCAACCAAGAACTGCGGCGTGCCAGTGCTACCGGAGTCGCCGCCGCCGGAACGACGACGACTGATAAGATTTTCACCGCAAGTCGCCGAAACAGCAGCTTCGTGCGAGCCAAGACCCGAGCACGTGCAAGTGCTACCAGCGTCGTCGGATGGAACGATACTTCAATGACTGGTAGGATTTTCTCCGCAAGCCAAACAAAAGGCTTCGTGCACGCTGCAGCATATCAATGGCGGTGTCACGGGCTCATCTCTTTCCCAGGTAATAAGGTTTCTTGCCTACCGTACCTGCCTTGTTTTCCACGGGCTTCCCCCAAGGCGGGCAAGGCAGGCAGGAAGAACTTGACTATCTATCGAAACTGTCTGTGCGTGCGACCGAGCGAGGAGCAAGTATGTACACAGAGAGCCGTCTGCCTGCCGAGAAATCAATCGAACACAAGCTGCACACACATCTCCTCGACGACATGTGCCAAGAAAATTTCGACATCTGCCCAGAAATCAGAAACCAGAAACCAGAAACCAGAGGTGGTCGGCCGATCTCGACATCTGCACAGAAAGATCAGAAATCAGTCTCCCTCCCTCGACATCTGCCGGGAAATCAGCCTGGATCTATCTCTCGACGAAACACCGTACTCTCTGTCTGATCTACTACAAGTACATGTATTGTAGAACCTGGACCGCCCCCCCAGCTCTCGCGTTTTGTTGGTGGTGCCTTGTCGTCCTCTTCTCGGAACGGAAGGTCGGGTCGTCGGGGTGGGGGGCGGGCGGTGGAAGGTCGTGACTCGCTTGGTCTTGCGCACGAGCGACGGCATGTACAAGGACGGCTCGACCTGCTGTCAGAATGGTTGGACAGACTACAAGTGGCGAGGGAGTTCAGCACCTGCTGCGCTCATTGTTCTCAACGCCGTATCGAAAAAACGAGCCTACCTGGCCTGCCGAGAGCTTGCCTTTGTCCACACGTGTAAATGACGCTCGGTAGTACAGAGAGACGGGCTCTTTCTCTGGCTAAAGAGCAACGACCATACATCATATCTCTACCCGGCCTTTTGGGGAAAATGCGTGGATGCAAATGCCCAGGCAAAGCTATCGTATCTGCGTGCGAGCCAGTGGTACAGAGAGCCCGCCGCAGCCTGTCGGTCGATCAACAGTGGCATCAGTCCCAGTCTTGACAACCCCCCCCCCCCTTTTCTTTTGTTGCCTTGTTGTCCTTCTTGTTCCTCTCATGTCGTGGGGACTTGCTTGGCCACGAACGACAACTTGCTTGAAGACACGGTGTCGGTTGGTGGTACAAGAACGGCTCGACCTACTGCAGACGTAGAAAATAGGCCAACGACACATCTTGTTATACCCCGGCCAATAGACGACTCAGCCGGGTGCATGCTGTCTATCAACGTTAAATGAGCCGATATGATTGGTCGACACACACCTTACCCTGTGGTGTCGCTAAATGCCCTGGGTTACCCTGCCGTGGTTACTTTCCTCTTCATTTGTACCCTACATAGCATTTTCAAGTGTACCCTGCCCTGACGGGAATTCAGACCCCGTCATCCGCCAATTTGTCCGCAGGAGTTACTTCCCCACGCCAACCACACTGCACAGCATTCCGAAAGAGTTCAACAGCAGAATTGAAACAGCAGTGATGGGTGGATGTGTGGGAAGAGACACACCCTCACACAGCGCATCACCATAAGGCAAACGTTCTCCACACGTGCTTCAGCAATACGGCTGTCTAGTCGTACAGACCACACAAGAGCAGTGGCGGATGGCACCGCCATCAACGCTTCGCGCGCGAGCCAAGAGACTCCACCCACTTTTTTTTGTATGGACTTGCTTGTTGTTGCTGTGTTCGAGACGGCGGACAGAACGGTGCAATGCCTGATAGGTTTTGTACCGCAAGCACAAGCTTCGTGTGTGAGTTAGCATTCCGGTAGTCGCAGGCAAGCCCTGCATACGACGATAGGCCAACAACAACGCAACAATGCACAACAACGATACCATGATGCTTGGCCGCCTCGTCGCGAGGGAGCAAGCAGCAGAGGCAGGCACATTAAACAGCGGTGTTGCCGAAGTTGGCATACATGTCCGATGCAGCAACATACACTATCTCAGCGGACCCAGCAAGTACATGAAATAGAAATGGACCCTAGACAAGACGCAGACTACGGCTGGTCAGCTGTGGAAACTTCTCCCCCTTTGATACATGTAAGTATTCTACGCTGCAGACCTGCTTGTTTTCATCATCATCACTACATCAGGCGACAACGGAGATTACGGAGATTTCCATCGCTCGTACGACATTTTTACTCTGGTGCGCCGCTCTAGCTGTCCCAAAGCGCCATGCCACCCATCAGTCGCTACGAGGTCGGAACTGGCATTCTCTTACATGGCGGGCGAGGGCGAGAAAGAGCGTCTCGAGAGGCCACCATTGCAGGTGGTGCAGCACTCCGGCCTTGGCTTGCCGTGCCTTGGGCAGAGGATAACGGGCGTGCGCAACAGGAACATGTGCGAGAGATGCGGCGGAATTAAATGTGTCGCTGCTTGGTCTCGTGCCTCGCTGCCGTCTCTCTGCCCGTTCGCAGTTCAATCGAACAGAGCCCTGGTTTGTGGTCGGTTTACCTTTCGACGAGGATGCATGGATATGCAATACATCTCAGGGGGAAACCTATCTTGTTTCCCGGTCGCGCCACTATTTTGCAGAGCAGAGCAGTCGCCGCAAAAGGCCGAGAGAAACACACACCACAACCACAGCTGCGGTCTGAACAGCCCGGATCCTCGAATAGACCTGGACCCTTCCCCGCGCATTCCATTATATCCCATTACTCACGAATCTACCTTGCCTCTGCTGTGTACACCCTGAGAGCGGCTATGGAGCATGAAGACACTAAGCATGGCCTGCTGTGTGTAGCGTCTAGAGACGCGGCTGGTGAGCCCTTGCTCAGGAACGGCGGAGCGGGCTGTCTGTACTCGTTTTCTACGTGGTCTGTACAACTCGTTTTCTAGGTGGTCCCCATGACAGTCGTCACCAGCAGCGCGGAATGACTTGGCGTTTGCCTCGTGCGGTAAATCGTCCGAGCTGGAAAGGCCGCCGAAAAGAGGAATCGGACAGCAAACCAGAGCGTGATGTTCGGCGTGAGAGCCTGGCATCGACTCCCGCCCGATGGAATTGGCGGAGAGAACAGAGGCATGGTGTTCCTCCAAGCGGATTAGCAGCACGGCTGATGATTGGAAGCTACTTGACCGGGACACAGATAATCCGGAGGTGCATTTGGTTCAACAAGTCGCAGCTCATGTAGCTGGGCTGTGTTCGCTTTTTTACTTTTTAGGAGAGGATCTGCTTCTTGGAGCACCTCCTTCCGTTGTGTCCAAAAACAAACGGTCTCTTGTGACCAGCGATAACAAGACTGACTACTACACGGCAAAGTGGACAAGAATCCCTTGTGCGCTTTTTACTCGAGGATGCACAGCAGCAGCAGCTTCACAAAGGAGTGCGCCCGCCCGCGGCCATCTCCCGCTTCTGTTGAACGTTCTTGCCGATGATGGAGAGACTTTTTGTGCACTCTGTCTCGCTCTCTTTTTTTCTCGAGATCTTGAGAGCGGATGAGTCTACCCTCGCGCTGCGCCCACCCTTCCCCCCCAAAGAACAGAGACCCCACAGGCACAGAAAGCGGCGGTGATGGTGCGCCTCTATCTTCGCAGCCATATGTATCTTCATTGCCGGTTGGAAATCACACAATTCTGAGAGCGCTGAGGGCAAAGATCGTACAACGGTATCTTCTTTGGGGCTCACCTCTCAGCAACCCCGTGATGACTGCCGTTGGAAACAGGTGCTCTGCCAAGGCCCGCATCTTCGCCCCCGCCGCGCCGGGTAGGATCAGGCTCTGGCCCACCGAAGAGGACGAAATGCTGGTGCTGCGGGAGTAGAATCTTGGGCGCTGGTGCAAGCTCAGGAGCGCTCGATCGAGGACTTTCCTAGGCGTTGTTTGTCAGCCAGGGGAGAGTAGCCAGGGGAGAGAGAACATGCGGTGGGGATCATCGACCATCGAAGCGCGGAGAGAGCGGAACGGCCATCAGCGCGCAAACCCGGGAGACTTGCCAGAGATGCCTATCGTGCGCGATCTGGTTGCGAATGGCGGACGCGGTCATCGTAGGGGTGGTGAGCTGGATGGAGCTTATGAGGTGGGAGTGGGGGAAACGTGAATGGTGGTGGTCTCTCAGGATCTCTCGTTATTTCTTTTGAAGACACGAACCCCTGAAAAGCCGGTAATTACCGTCTTTTCTGCGGTGTTGATGTTAATCTTTTTTGCTATGTATGAAGTCAGCAACTCCGTGCAGCAGCATGCTTCTCTATGTTTTGGTGATGACGGAGTGTCATCATGCTGTGCGCCGTGAGTGGCAGAAGGACAAAAAAAACGATTACCTACAGCTGTTGCTGTAGACTACAGTTAACAGGAAAATCGTCATGTTGTTGCTGTTGTTGTCTTCACTGCACCATCAACCGTTGCGGTGTCTGTTGAGTACCTCCATACATTCATCCGTACCGATCCAACAGATGCGGAAGGAAGCATTCCGTGGTCACAGGCTAACTACCCAAAGAGGTGATGCACTTGAAAACGAGACGAAATAAAAGATGACTCAGTAATTCAACAACGCGATATATAGACTAAGCATCTCACAATCAAACCGGGAGACGAAAGAACCTCGCCAAACTAGAAAGACCCATCAACGAGAACACCAATACTGTTGGGGTAAATGCCGGATGGTCCTCGGCGCTTCAAAACGTACACAACGACGAGGAATTTGGTTGGCGGGGCCGGGTATGGCGGCAATTCCTGTGTCTTTGTATCATTACCATCAGCAGTAGATCTTTCAGCTGTGTGTCGATTGCAGCGAGGTTAGCTAATAACGCAACACGTCAACACAACAATATGACCGCTTGCCACTTTTTATTTCTTTGAAGTAGTTCACCAGCAGCTTCTCGTGTGCGACGACCTCGTCCGCGGAAGCAAGTGGCGTGTCCAGCGTAGATGATACAGTCCCTACTCCAGAAATGGCCCTCCCCAAGCCAGTTTCGTGCATCAGGCAAACCAAGCAAGATTGCCAAAATAATGGAATTGCGCCCTGTTTCCGTCATGTTCCCTCGCTGGGGATGGAGGGTGGCGTTGGAGGCCGCCATGAATCGATTAACTGTTGTAGTTCGACGGAGTGCACCTGCCACGTCGGGCTGAAAGCCTAGCAGGGATACACCTTCCAGTTGTGTGCTGTTGCTAGAGATGGTTGCGAGATTCTGGTAGGGTAATGAACACGGAGTGATCTGATATTCTTCGCGCAGACGCCCAAGCTGCATTTTCCAAACGGTTACAGATTTGGCGATACGGCTTCACAATACCGCGTGAAACCCATGCAGGTAGAAAACAGAGTCGTTCTTTTACTGCAAATGCACCCTACACCTTTGATCGCGGAATTCCTTGGGGAAACCACGATGATATGCGTCATTAACATGGGTGTACATACGACATGAAGCATAAAACCCACAACTCGTCGGTTCGTACGCCTCGCGTAAATCCGCGGTTTCATGGGATGGTAAGAACATGCACGCATCTCATACATTCGCCTCTCGCACGCCTGTGGAACTCATTTTCGTACGTTTCGTCGGAAAACCATCTACCTATATGCATCTCGCCCGCCTGGGGAACACCGAAATGTTATGATCATCACGATCGCAAGAAATGTTATGATAGTTCGCTGAAGGCCCTGTGTAGCTACAACGGACACCCGAACATAATTCGACCTCTTCCGCAGCGGATTCACCTAATATTATTTATTAGTTTTTTGCGGCAACCAAAAGTGGTGGTCGATTAGATTATGTTGTGCGGGGTCGAGAACGCTCACTCCACTCAAAGGGGATGATCGCACCACGTTGTGTTAAATTGGTCAAGCACCCTCGAGGCAGTTTCACAGTGCTTACAAAACTGTCTCTGGAAGTGAAAGCACCAGAAAGTAAATTAAGTCATACGCAGCTGTCATCCGTACACAAGGAAGTAAGCACAGGATGCCGAACACCTTAGCAGGATGCAGCGCACCCTTCATCGACTTGCCGAATACCTCACGGCGCTTCGCGCTTAGTAATGTGAGAGCCTGGTCCGGTGAGAACCCGGCGTGCTCCGTCCCAGCTTTATAGGGATGCGAGGTCAATGGCCTAACGATTACGATATGCACGCTAATGAGTACACCCCCCCCCCCTCTAAATACTTGCCCATGCTGCAAAATCTTCCAAGTGATGGGAGCTTTTTGTGAACCCCCGATTTTTTTCAAGTTTCACTGTACCCCCCTATTCTCGCGACTTATTCTCCTTGCCAAGGCATATTACACCTTCCCTTGGACCACCCAGTTTTTTTTCTTGGACCGCCGACGTCCATATCTCCCAGACTACAGTGAACCACGTAAAGTTGGTTGCTACTCTATCTTTTTGGTCTTGACTGATTGATTTCCAAAACAACCGAGGAGGCACCCAAGCAATCGCACACGACGCACGTAATACGACCAATCGGGAAGTATTACAGAACCAACGAAAAAAAACGTTTCTATGAAGTACTTGTCGCACAGAGCCGCGACTGGGGGGTTTATCTCCGACAGCATATTACGTATGTAGGTTATACCTCTAAACACCTCTCAAAGTAAGAAGACAAGATCTGTTTGGAGAAAACATAAGCAAGAGGATCTTCCGTGGAGGCGCACTCGGTAAGTACTCGACTGGAGAAGGAATCTTGACACATGTGCATCTTCTCTTGTAAGTCGGCTTCCGTGGGCTTCCCTTCTCCCATTAAAAACTGTTTTTTGGATGAAAATACGGTATTTGTTTATGATTACAATAGTTTTTCACGCTTCAATTCAAAAGCAATACTCAGAGCTCGACCCAGAACGAGGACCAGAACGAGGAGGGGGGGGAAGGGATGCGGCGGATGATTCGAACGGGCGGAGGGTCTATGTATTCTACACAGCGGGGGTCCACCATTGTTGCTCTTGTTATTTGTTAGAGGGCTCTTGGGAAGAGGACCGAGTGCCTGCGGATCAACCGGCAGCCAGAGGCGTGATGAGTGTCATTGACCTCCCTCTCCCCTATGAAACGAGCACGAGGAAACAGAAAAAAAGCTCTCGCCACCCCGCTGCGGCGGTCATCGCTGGCACCACCACCACCATCACCACCACTCCTACTCTGCTACCTATGCCACAATGACCAAATTCCCCCCCCATCGCGTTCCTTTCAAGCAATGGGCGGGATCAATCATTCGCTTTTTACTTTTTTTATGCCGCACCGTATGCATGCGCGCTGCCCTACAAGAGGGTGGTGGTCGATCTGGCACTGCAAGGCGAACCCTTCTCGAGACATAAAGAGCAAAACATTTCTAGGCGCTCCCACCGCGACACATGTCACCAATACCTTTGCTGGGAACTCCAGACCCAACGCACCTTATGTAAATATATGTACTAGTATGCATACATGAAACAACGGCAGAGAAACAAACGGGGGGGGATACACAATAGCTAATCACAGCCCCCCCTCCCTCACCCAAAACAGCCTAGACGATATGGTTGGGGGGGGAAGGGGAAGAGGAAACCAGGGGATGAACAACACCATCAAAGTTGTACGACGGTTAAAACATCAGCACAATAGTCAGGCTCAAAGAGACATATCGTTTGCCGTCCCTGCAGCAGATTGTTGAGCTAATCGCCTGCTCCCCCGCTCTGTCGCTTCCCCGGCAGACATCAACCTTGACATGCTGCTGCTGCTGCTGCTCCTGCTGACGACCGATACAAATGTGCCACTATTATCTACGTTGGCACAACCGTATCGCGAGCAATCGTTCTGTACATTTACCATAGCACGCGATGACTATCTCCCCCCATACCTAAAGTCTTGGTTCCCACCTCCTCTCGCCCCCCTCCGCGAGCAGAATTTTTCCGGTAAAAACTTTTTCTTCACTTGTGTCAGAACAACCCACAGAAAAAAGCGTTGGAAATTTCGCCGAGAGTACGCAGCACGCGTCAATCTAATCTAACATGCTGCTATGATTCCTAGTTTGTTCCTCCATTTTCTACTGGCTGCCACTTTGGGACAGGCTGCTGATTTCTATGGATCGCACGTCGTTGAGCAGCCGTTTTCTGGAAGAGAAAATTACGAGCTCGGGGTGCTTTCTATTCCAGCGAACACCGGCGCTCTAGGGACACGATTTCTATGGTGGCCGGGAGCTTGTTTTCCTCCTGGTGTTCGGGCTCGCTATAATTCCACAGTGGCGGGAGGCTTGTTTGCCTCCGGGTGTAGCATGGAACGCTTTGGTAGACCAACTTCATGCTCGGGGCAGCCCAGAAAGTGATGCGGCGGTCACGGCCGCTGTAAATATTTCGAGTAACTGCTTCAAACGTTTCTGTGATGCTTTCTTCCTGCCAGCAATAGCTGTTGTTGGAGTACACAGCCGATATACCCCGGGCAGCTCACACCCAGCTGTTGTTGGAGTACACAGCCGATTTAACCCGGGCAGCTCACACTATGTCGAGAGCATCATTCGGCATTTTTGTTGCTTCCAGCGGCGCCACCAGAAGGCGCTTGGTGAAACTCATCGTCATCGCTGTCGGAAGGCTCGTCATCGAAAATTGGGGGCTTGAAAAAGTCCCCTCTATAGCGGGACCGGGGGTACTCACCCTCCCATGTCAAGGGACTACGTTGCTGCTGCTGCTGTGGCTGCCGCTCCTGTTCCTCATCGCTCCTGGCGGTAGCATGGTGTCGAAAAGCTCCGGTCGCCATCGCAACTGTGGGAGAGCTCGCCGACGACGTCGACCTTACCACCTGTGCGATGTGTCGGCCGTCGCCCGGTCTACCCCCATCGTGGCACAGCCGGGACCACGACGCCTGCTCTCGTTGCGGAGTGGTTAGAGGGGGTAGGGGGCGCATCGGGTAGGGAAGCTCTGATGAT